GGGAAAGGCAGCCGGCTCCAGTGTGCAGAGCTTCCCTCCTGTGCCCGGCGAGTGCAGGAGCTGTGCACGAGTGGCAGGGAGCACCAGCAACACAGGGGGCTCAGTAGAGTCTGTGCCCCTTGCTGCAATGTGCAGCGCCGGCCAGAGCTGTGCCCCACCTGCTGCTGCACCACGGGGAAGTACAGGAGGTCCCCACACCCCCTCCTACACACCCCCTCCCCAACATACCCTACGCCCCCCTACACACACCCCTAACACCCACCCCAATACCCCACCACACACAACCACATCCTCCCCCACAATATACAAGACTACGAATTTATTTGAGTCATTATGCAATCATCTCTACATACAGTACACAAACACAAATCATGACAAATATTTTTCGTAATAAAATTAAAATATATGTTATAGTAGGTGTTTGACCTTTAGTGTACGATTTTGTTTTTTTTCTGGTTCTAAGATGGCAAAACCCCGCCTCAAAAGGAGTATTTCCATTCGGCAAAGGGAGGGACTTCCTGTCCCAAGATGGTGACAAGGGGGCGGGGCAACTGTCAAGGGGTGGGACTGGCTGACAGCTCAGCAAAATTCATTAAGTGAGCCTCCACCCAAAATAATTGCCCACTCCTGCTTTACAGCATGGCTGAAGGTTTAAATCGATATCTTATGAGAAAGATTGGGATTTGGTTTTGTAGGTCTCCTTTTTCCACAAAACTTTGACCAAAAAATTGGAAAAGAAATTGCCATATGCCCTCTCACTGTAAGAACACACTTGTTCAGGCTCCAATCCTTCGCTAGTAGTTGCCTCTGCAACCTCAGCAAAAGAGACCTTACTTTGCTAGCAGATATCCAAAGTTACAAAATCATCTTATTTTGATTTTTAAAATTCCATAAGGAAGTCAGCTCTGCCAGGACGTACACAAGGTTTATTACAAAGGAAGATGAAGGTTATGCTTGTAGGATGCCTTGAGATTGTAGTACAGATACTAAAGACGTTAAGACATGGAAGAGTAAATTTTGGAGCACAATTAGATGGTATGGACTGTTGCTAGTGCTGCTACCTGGCCAGATGCTTAATAGTTTTAAAAGCTCACAAGAACCAGCCTACAAGAACAGAGAAAGATTACTTAAGCCTAAACACTACAAAATTTACCATCCATTCCCTCAAAAATATAGCCATGTATGTGTGTGACTCTGGAAATGCCAACTAGTAATACCAATGCCAGACAAAAATCAAGTATTTCTGAACCAAGCAATTGTTTCCTCAGGTCAAGTTTAGGTTGGCAATCCAGTTACTCTACTGATTCATTTCTCCGATATAAAACAAATCAGAAGAGCAGTTTGATATCTACATTCTTTAATATTAATAAAAGACACCTTGGTTGTATTGACAGAGTTTCATAAAGCATTAAAAACTTTTAGAGCAAAAAAATGTTAATGCACTTTGAAATGTTTATTTTGAAATCTTTAAATTAGTCATATTACCAAGGTAGATCTAAAACCTATTTTAAATCTTTTTCAGAAAAGATTTATGAAAAGTATACAATAGTTCTGGTAAGCAGCTGTGACTTCACAAGAAGTCAATATACATAATCAAGAGCATGAAGTTCACATGAAGAGTTAATACCCTTAACACTTTTTTTTATTTTTTACTTGAAGTACGGGACAAACCTGATCAATGAACTAGTAAAACAACAACGAGGGAAAGTTAAAGGTAACCTACAAATGCAAAGATTGCCAAAGCTTTTTGGTGTTTCCAAACTTTTTCTCCATCCCTTCTAAAATTAGGCTCTTTGGCCATCTTTACACATGCGCCGGGGGAGGAAGGGCAAGTTAATTAAAGCAGGTCTCAGGAGTTGCTCTAATTAAACTGTCTGCAGCATCTCATGTATTAAGCATCCAGTGCTTCAAAATGGTGGTGGGAATGCTTTAACTAAAGTTTGTTCGGTGAGCTTTAAAGAGCCCCTGCTGCCATTTTGAAGTGTGGGGATGCTGAATACACATGACACTGAGGCTGCTGGAGCATGCTAATTAGCATGCTCCAGACTCATTTAAAAATTGAGTCTGCTCCAATGCGTGCTAATTAGCACATGTGGGAACAGGCATCAGGCACAATGTGTCAGTGCCCTCTACTAGCAACAGAGAGGTTCTTGAAACTCTAATTATTCCTTCAACATACTGTGGTGCTGGGTTATGAATGTTAATAATCTAAGTGAAAATATTCAAGTTAGACTCTTTTACAAGACTGAGGAGAAAAATGGAGGCCAGCTTAGTTCACACTATTTCTAAGTTTTGAAAACTACTGACACTTGCTTTGCATCTCCAAAAGCAGAGGCATGTGTCTGCCCACAGGATCAGCATCAGTCAGAGCTAATAAACATGTTAGCACTTCCAACCCTCTCCTAAAAAACACTTAGGCCTTCTAAAATGGTAGGGGGAAAGCATTATATAAGTAATGACACTAATGTTTTGCAGTAAGAAATGTTAAGTACATTTTTGCTTTTTTCAGGAGTGGAGAGGTGGGTTGGTAGGAAAGGAAAAGTGTTTGGTTGGTTTAATGCCCAGGGGAAGACTGAAGGCTAATCACTACACCTGTGTTATTTCAGAACTTTATCTTCCATGGTATGAACTGTAGACAACAGCATCATTCAGGTGTAATACTACAGTATGAACAGAACTGCTGAAGTAACCAGAGAAAGTACTCACATTTTTCCTTGGCGAACGGAAATCATGACTTAGTTTTCCAAGACCACAGATAAGAATATTCACTTGCTACCATCCAGCCCCTCAGAGCTTAATAGAAATCTACTGAGTCACATTTTCAATGCAACAGTTTACAGGGTATTTTTACAAATTCTCTACTTAACAGAGAGAAGTGCAATAATATGCAATTGTGCAAGTCCGTCCCTGAATATTATGTTAACATGAGTTTCCATTTCTTCCAACAGTGGCCCCATTACTAGTGTTAAGACTCTTCCCTTTCTGCCATTAGTTTTCCCAATGCACTGTCCTCAGTACATTCAAGATTAGCCTTCCCATTCTAAGGCTGCATTTTTAAAGATATACATTTTGCTGTAGCCCATAAAAGCGTACTACTGCACAAATTAAATACACAAATTGTTTATGAATACTCACCACTTTTTGTATCGTTATCCCAATCCCATGCTTCTATTATTAATGTGAATGATCTCTGAAAAGAAACAAAACACTAATTAGATACTGATTTATTACTGACTAGGTAATAAAACCTGCCAACCACACAGTAACCAAGCAGCAACATTTTCTGCTAGTAAAAGGCAGGCAAGTCTAAAAACAAATGGTCAATAGTCTACCTTTTTGATCTAATGGGAAATTCTTGGAAACTAGCTTCTTAAAACCTTTCAATATTGCAACATTAGGTTTCAGGGCAGGGGTTGTTAAGACATTTTTAATAAAAAGTACAGACCTAAGGAGCACACATGGAGAGTAGTAGTCAATTTTTGACAGCCCTATTCAAAAAAACACTTGAGTTCAGAAGCAGGTAACTAATGACTAGAAAACATTTAGACTTAAATGAAGCCTACATTCAAAAGCAAAGTCACTTTAAAACAAATACAAACTGAATCCTGGTTTAGGCTCATCATGTTCCATTACTCACATCTATTGAAAATTTAAATTTAAGAAATATTAGAAGGAAAATTATAAAAGAGTGAACATGGAGAAGGCAAGGCAGATTAAAAACCTCATGGCTTGGGTCTTCAAGTTGAACAGAGAAAATGCTTAGGGAAAATACAGTATTTTGGCACATATACTTTTTGCTTTTCCACAGAAAGGGAAGAGGTAATTGGCTTTCATCAGGAATTGGGCAACTATGGTCTGGAGGTAGAAAGGAGAAGACAACTGTAATTTACATTAATGAAGACTGTAAAAACTTAATAGACCTGCATTTAGACCAGTCTTAAATGACCTATTTAAAAGGGCAATCTTGTCCTGGCAGAAAATGAAATGCTTATTTGCAAGTCTAAATAGTCAAATATATTTAACTTCAGCAATTGAAAAATAGCACCTAACGGGGCTCCGATTGTGCTCATTTACAGTCCTGTTTGTGTCAAACTGAAGTTCCTGTATACAGTTAAAACTGAAAACAAAAGAAAACAAAATAAGAAGTGCACCACTATTCCACAACGAAACGTTTCAAACAAATCTGTTTAAAAGGCAAGAAACCATGGCATTCTTGAACACTGCACTTAGATCTACAGAACACAGCATCTACAACACTGAAGCACACAGCAAACTAACAAGTTGAATCTACTTGAACCACTTCAGCTTTGAAACAGAAAGCCCCTGCTGGTGGAAGAGAATCTATGACGGTTATACTTGGAAGGAAGCAGCAAGAAAGGTTACCTAGGGCTATGCTACCAACCCTAGATGAATACCAATGTTTCAATATGGATCTTTAATATTTATGCACTTTTAAAAACGAGCTTCTTACAACTTCAAAGTCTACCTGCTTAAAAAACAGTTCATGCTGTATTCCAGGAAAGGAGAGGGGAATATTCTGATAAAAGTAGGGTCTATTTACTTGTGTGGCTTCCAGAGCAGGTTTTTTTTTTTCTTCAGATAAACCAATTGTCAGTGGGCATGGCTACACGTGCAAGTAAAGTGTATGAATAAACTGCAGAGCTTGTTGCTCCCAGACGTGCCGTTTGAATGTGCACCCAGGAGTAATGAACTCTGAACTTTATTAATGAGCAACACGTTGAGCCTGATTGGAGCAGCCCCAGCTGGCAGGGGGTCCGGGGCGGGGGGGACCTGCCAGCCTGGGGCTACTCCCCCCAGCCTAATGTGTTGCAGAGGGACTGGCTGAGGCAAAAAAGCATGAGTCCCAGCACTGAAGCACCCTTATGCTCCAGCCAGCCAGGGCAGTGTCTACACATGTGCTGTTGTGGAGTTTTTCACTCCACAGCAGCATAGTACTTGCATTTACAAGTACTATACTGCAGTGGGGTAAATTACTTTACTCCAGCCTAACAGGGGTGCACATATAGATGCATGGTATTTACTGCTCAGCTAATTAATCTACTGCACAGTAAACATCTTGTGCAGACATACATGCCCAGTTAAGAGTATACTGGGAACGTTAATGCTAGAATTACAGTAAAGTATGCCATACAATTTTTTCAGGTAGAAGGTGCCACTTCTAACAGCTTGAGAGTTCTCCAGACTTCTGCACTTAACAAACAAACAAACAAACAAACAAACAAACAAACAAACAAACAAACAAACAAACAAACAAACAAACAAACAAACAAACAAACAACAGAAGGATTTTGCCATAAATAGTCATTTCAGACTCTAGGAGATAACAAAAGGGACAGTAACAGTGCTGCACAGGGAAGCAAAACTCCTCTTCAGCCAAGCAGATGATGTAGGTTGATAGTTACACATCTGATTCCCTACCTTCCCTGCACAGCCCTGCCCCTGTTCAAAGCAAGACCGTCCAATACTATTCCACTGACTTTAGACCCCTCCCGCATCCACTTTGAAATCTCACTGCCAAAGGGTATTCGGTTCTACTCCAAAATATTTTTACCTACATAGTACCAATTTAAGAAATGGGTATGCATTAAAATTTTTAACATAAAATTTCTCTCAAACTAAATGCAGACAGAGATATAAAAATATCACCCTAATACTGGATTCTGATAGTTGTGAGTGCACCGATTTGGGGTCCCTTTAACTAAAAAATATTGTTTTAGTAAGGATTTTGCATAGATCAATACATAAAAGTAAGTCTTCCTAAGGCTGTCTTGCTTTAAAATGAGCAAGATAATGTTGTAGCATCCATTTCTCTCTCTCCCTATGGGAATTTTGCTATGGTCCCTCCTTTTATTAATTTGTATTACCTGTATTACAAAGTTTGATATAATTTTCCAGGTATAAAAATCTAATTAGTAGACCGATTCAAGGCAAACCTCTAATGTCTATGGCTATAGGAAGGGAAAAAACACCGGGGGGGATTAGGTAGCCCTTTTGTTCCCCCCCAGCTTCTTCCCTCTGCAGCCCCTTCTCCCCAACCCCTTACCGTCAGCCAGTGCTCTCCCTGAGCACATGGAAGTAACAAGCAAGTTTTTAAAAATCTGACCTTGAAATAAACATTACTGTATGCAAATTGCTACAGCTGCCATAGACTTGGTTCACTCAGAAATGATGCATTTTGCCTCTTTTGAAACTGCTGCACAGGTACTGCATAAACACACTTTTAAGTAGCATTTTAGCACCTACTTAGAGAGAGTACAAACTATGCTTGATATTAGTCCAAAGCCAAAAGGCTCATGATTTACTGTGCAGTTCACTGGGCTGTGCCCCCGAGTCAACAGCATTTCAAGCCATGATGACCCCAGAGCATTAGGCGCGTGTACTCTAGATATCCCCCACGAAGGATCAATGTGCTAACTACTGCCCCCACTCACGACTGGAAATAGATGTTCTTGTCACGAGTCCTGGGGTCCTCTAAAAATGTAGATACAGATGAGGCACAGGGCAATCCAGTCCAGGTCCATTTCATGCAGGGTGGGGCCACACTAATCATATGCAACAGTCTGAGAGAGGGGCAGACAGAGGGACTCTGGGTAAACAAACTGTTTGAAGCCCCAGGTAGTGATGTTTGCTAGACATTTAAGGCTGGTGAAAAAACAAGAAGAATTGAAAATGGGAAAGAAAGGTGCAGCTCAGCAACGGGAGTGAAGAATTTAAAATATATTCTAGCTGTGCTTATAGCAGGGCCACTGGTGAAGCTGTTTAAAGAGTTGTGGAACATGGAAGTGGTCCCGGGCAACTGGAAGAGGGCCAGTGTGGTACCTGTCTTTCAGAAAAGGGATGATCCTGCAAACTACAGACTGGTCAGTCTAACTTCGGTCCTGGGAAAAAAAAAATTGTAAAATTTGTTAGAGGCGGCCATGAATTACAAGCTGGTAACTGGTGGGACATTAAGAAGTAACCAGCATGGCTCTGTTGAGGGTGGATCATGCCTGACAAACCTGGTGCCCTTCTGTGACCAAGTAACTAACCATCTGGATGAGGGACATGAGGTTGATGTCATTTACTTGGACTTCAGTAAAGCCTTTGATTCTATTTCCTGCGAGATTCTCTCAACTAAACTGGAGGGATCTGGGCTGGACCAGTCTACAGTGAGGTGGGTAGACAACTGGCTTAGAGGCTGATCCCAGAGAGTTGTAATCGATGGGATGGCCTCACCCTGGAAGGTTGTCTCCAGTGATATATTCCCCAGGGATCTGTGCTTAGGGGATACCATATTTCTCAATGACTTGGATGAGGGGGTAGAAAGCTCAATCATTAAAGTCTGTGAATGATACTAAGCTGTGGAGAAACACAGGCACATCAAAGGAAAGCGTAAAGATCTAGGATGACCTCGACAGACTGGATTTATGGGCCAAATGGAATCAGATGAGGTTTAACAGGGAGAAGGGCAGGGTTCTTCATCCGAGTAGGAAGAACCTTTATCAAAACCACATGACGGGTGGTGATACAACAGCTGGTACAGCATCTGAATGGGACCTGGGGGTCACCATCGACTGGAAGATGCACATGGGCCAACAGTGCGATGAGGTTGCCAGCAGGCCAAACAGAACCATGGCGTGCATCAGCCGATGTGTTGCCAGTAGATCCAGGGAGGTGCTTCTCCTCCTCTATCTGGCATTGGTGAGGTCACAGCTGGAGTACTATGTCCAGTTCTGGGCACCGCACGTCAGGAAGGATGTGGATAAGCTTGAGAGGGTACGGAGAAGGGACACCCATATGATTAGGGACCTGGAGGATAGGCCCTATGAGGAGAGACTTTGGGAACAGAGCCTGTTCAGTCTGAGCAAGAGAAGACTGAGAAGTGACTTGATAGCCACCTACAAGTATGTTAGGGGTGAACATCAAGATCCAAAGGGAGGAACTCTTCAGAAACACACCTAAAGGGAGGACGAGCATCAGCAGGCACAAACTAATAGTGGGAAAATTTAGGCTGGACATAAGAAAAAAACCCAACCCCCCCAATAAGGGTTGCCAGAATCTGGGGGACACTGCCAGCTGAGGTGATACAGTTGCCATCTTTGGAGGTGTTCGAGATGAGGTCAGACAAGCACCTTGAGCTCGGTTGAGCCCAATAACTTCATGCCCGTGGCAGGGGACCAGACTTGATGA